TCAATTAAATCGCGCATCATTCGATATCCCGCAATCTCGGTAATTTTGCAACTGATTACTGATTACTGATTTTGACTGATTTGTTGATATTTTGACGAGAAATTAACCTTTTGATAATCTCTAAAGCTAATTCGATCAGTGTTATACTGTACGATAAAGTTTAAGGTGTACGTCCTGTGCACCGCATATTTTGCAAGTCCCGTTTCTTGACAATTTTCTCCGACATACTTACAAATCAAAAATCGGTACGAGATTTGGTGGGTTGAAAAAGAAGAAATGCAATGAATTTCTTCTTGACATACTGGTCCTTCTCAAAGTTCTTTAAAGGATCAGAACCTGCATGATAAATAAATTTCCTCCTACATTAATATTTTTTTCAATGCAAATGTTACCAACTCCACTCCAAACTCCGTAGAACAAAATGAAAAATAATATACATGGATTTTTTTACTACTCATTCCATTTTTTATGTCTCGTGGAAAGTACCAATAATATCTTCAAGGGTGACTCGATAAAAAGAAGCGATAGGATTCAGATATCTTCTTTTAGTACGTATTTTCCGAAGAAAATACACTATTTTATTATTCATCATAATGTATTGTTCTATTTTTTGAAATATGCATATTTGTTGAATAACTGAAAGAGTGGGGAGTTCATGAAAATGAAAACTTCTATTGACTGGCTGGAGGAAAAAAGAGGAGAAAAGAACATTGTCGGAATGTTTCGTATGTAACCTGTGCAATTGCGAGAAACCAATTAACATGAACGAAAAACGATATTGGAGGAAAATGAAGGACATCTGGTATCCTTGGTGGCGAAGGGAATGTGAAGCACCCCTCTTTACTCCTCAAGTAATGTCTTAGCATCAAGTTTTGCAAAATTCTTGCTTATGTAAGCAGCTTATGGTCCCATTCGCCGAAAGTAACGTGGAAAATAAACTAAAAATAAGTTATCAAGGAGCCGCCATTTCCAATAGTCATCAAAAAGTGGGTCAAAATCGTATATTAAAACTTGTTATTTCGCTCTAATATCTTAAAAAATGTAATCCTTTACAAAACTTACGTGAGGGAAGGGTAATACACTCTGTACTGAGATCGGAAAAGCTCTGTATTCAGAGAAAACAAGACGCGTGATGCGCGATGACCGACCCCTCTTATTGACTCGGCACTTTTGCATTGGAGTAAATCGCCTTTTGCTTGTTTTTATGTGTTACTAATAAAAAGTAGGGCTTATATCACTATAGAAAAGTATTTAGGCAGTACAGTAAATTCATTATTATTTTTACAACTGCGCACCGTTGAGATTAAACCGAGACAAGCGGCTATTTCGTCGGGAACACCGTACTCCGCCGCCGCGCGCGTCCCGGGCAGGCAGCGCAGCGCGCGGATCTGCCTCAGAACGGCCGGCTCCCCGTCCCCCGATGGTTTTTCCCGTTTCACGCCTTAAATATCGATCCCACAGAAAAATTCTTAAAAACCATTTTTGTTCCTAATAAAATTTCCCATCGTCCTGCCGTAAAAAAATTACGCTAACATTAGCTGTTCAGTAGTTGTACGAAATTCAAAATTTGGGGGCCCCCCTGCCCCCCCAGGGGGCTCAGATTTTTGGGGTCTATGTCTAAATCGAAAGTCTATAGGATAGAGATGAATCCCTGAAATTTTCATGCTTTCTTCCAGAAGTGCACGATTGTTATGATATTTTCCACTTATCGGCCCCACTACAACAATTTCACTTCATTTTTAAAAAGTTGGACAGAAAATCTTAATTTGTCTACTAATTCCTCCATTTTTGACCACTCTGCGATGTAAATTTGTGGAACTGAACACAATTTCATGCATTGATGACCGATGAGAACATTGTTAGCCATGAAAACTGCAGCAGACCGACAATTTTACTTCCATTTCTAAAAATTTTACAAAGAACCCTGATTTGTCGACGATTTGTCCCCATTTTGGACCACCGTGCGACCGAAATTTTTGAAACTGAACACAGTTAAATGCTTGGGGGCCCAATGAGAACATTTACAGCCGAAACCTATCAAAGGTGTAACTTTTTCGTCCATTTTTCCCGTCTTTTTGCTGTAGAAATGCTGTCCAGAATGATGGCGATTTGACAACTTTGCCCCCTCATTTCTCAAAAACCGTGCGTATACTCAAGCTAAAATTTTAACCAGAGTTTTAGGGTATCATGGCATCGTTTGGGCCCGGTATCAGAAAAATCCCCGCTGGCCCAAATTGTGCCGTTCTTGGCGTCGCTCTTCACAAAGAAATGGAGACCCCTCGTGCTTGCCTTCTTTCTTCGGTGAATCCTTCGATGAATAATTAAAAAAATGCAACCTCCTGTCTTTCACATTTGGCCGCCATCTTTGATTTGGAGCGCCCCCTTTGACCAGGAGGGCCTTGTGGAATTCATTTATGAAATCTACGACCAAAATTACATAGGAAATGATACCTCCCACGAGACAGAATGAGCATTTTAAAATACCGATTTCCCGGACCCCCTTATTACGGCCACCATTTTCAATTTCAACTACTTTGAGGGTTGTTCCAGGGTCAGGCCATTTTTAACTTTTAGAAAGTTGTTCAGGGGGACCTACTGATGGCGATTACATGGGGAAAGTTTGTTACACAATTTTTCCCGGTCAAACCGCACTTCTCCCTTACTATTATAGCACGATCCTGCTTCTCGAGCCGTACACTTTTCGGAGGATTACACAAATTAGTTGGAACTTTTTTTGAAACTGAGGAAGTTCTGAAGACATTTGCATCTTCAACACTTGCCTACCGTTCATTTATACCCTCTTTCGACTTATTTTCGTGAATGAGTCTTCTAAACCGCTACTTTGTGAGACCTCGGAAATTCTGAGGACCAAAAAAATAAATACCGAGTTGAGTTTTTCTGGTTCAATTTGATTTTTATCGTTTACAAAGACGTCTTCCTAGAGTAAAATTTCATCCCCAACAACTTGAGTTCTTTTGCATTTTTCTCGTCGCACGATCTCAGCGTAAAATCGAGTTTTTTGTACGAAATCGAGGTCTAAACCAAAATATCATAATTTCATCACAAAATTGACCTTTGACACCATTTGAGATGGTTGAAATTGGCCCGAATTTTGGCAAACATGTTTCTTTACCAAACGTCATCGGTTGCCGCCTGAGGAGCGGAACATTTCAGACTTTCATTTTTTTTTAAGCACCCTAAGGCCCCCGTCCACCCCTGAATTCTTTGTAGTATAGTTTTGCAAGCTATAAAATGTTAAATGCGCACCCCTCTCTCTTCCCATCACATGATCAATTGACGGCCCTACGGTCTACGGATCTATAAATTGTCACCAATTAAAGATGCTCTTATCAATCAATCCCTTTTTGAATCCTCCACATAATGCACCAAACTCACATGATCTGTTCCATTCTTAACATGTTTTTCTTAATTTAACTAGGGTCAAAGCATTGATGACATACCCTCGTCAGTGTTAGATGACGCAGCCCAATTAGTCAAACACAATAGCATTGAAGGGAATAAAATTAATGATGTAGATATTGTGTATACAATGTGGAGTAATCTGAAAAAAACAGATGGAATGGAAGTTGGCCAGGTAGCTTTTCATAATGATAAAGAGGTAAGCTTTTGTTTATGATATTAATTTTTACTGTAAATTTTCATTATGCCTGTATTTCAGCCTCTCTTTCTCTTTCTTCCTCCCTCTCCCTCTCCCTCTCCCCTCCTTTCTTAGGATGGTAGAATCGCAAAGTGCAGGAAGCTATCTCTGCCCAGACGTGAAATGAACTTTTTGCTTTTATGTTCGATCACACTAGGTAATTGATATGAGACACTCACTTTTTTTGTTGAAGTGTTTACATGGGATGCAAAAATTTCCAAAACGCCCATTGTTTGTCGGGTTTTTATATCCTGGGAAAAAGTCTAATTTCGAGCAAAATGGCCAATTGATCAGTGATGTAAAAAATAAAGAAAATGATGATAACCAGAATGATCGTTACAGCACTCAAACGGCAGATCAGAAGACTCAGAAGAAAGAGAGTGGAGGGTCTGTACTGTTCTTCATATTCACGATCATATTTTTATACATGTATTTTTTTATGCAAATGTATACCTTTGACAACCTAGTGGTCAAAGAGTGCGAATAATTGCATGCTAGGCGAAAGTCATTCGAAGATAGAAAAGATTTCCTGTTTAGGTGGGTAGGCTTATTTTTTATGTGAAATCTCCTGCCAGTCCTGCCCAAAGTGAAACAATAAAATGAAACCTTTCGACCTTCATCACCCATCGATCTGTATCTAACTGCAGTTTAAACTTCTCTTAATTGAATCGTGTGGTGCAAAAACCACTAATGTCTATTTTTCCAGCTTACCTTTTTTGTGTTAATGATACTTTTCAGGAGTTGATACAATCATGAAAGTGTTGCAAGGGCTAGTTTTGGGTTTAAGCTAACCCTAAAACGAGTACTAACACCTCTTTCTTTGTTGCATCTAACTTTAAAAAGTATCATAAACTCAAAAGAACTCAAAACTGGAAAAATAGACCCTAGCTATTTTCATCCCGAAGTGTTCTCTCAAAAAAGTTATTAGCTTAGCAAAATTTTGGTTTGAAACCATCAATTAATCAGATCAATTCACAACAGAGCGGAAGCCTCTTTCAACTGAGTACTGGATGATACTAAGAGTATCAGTTTTGTACTGAAATTTAATTTAAAGCACGTCGGCTTTATCACCTGACTCAGGTCGATCTCATCAACCACCCCCCCCCCCTCCAAACTTCTGCAGAAACACGTGAAAAATAGGTATGTCATTGTTTTTTAAGTTTTTGTACCGTTTCGTAAGTCGAAAAAAAAATTCGTAAGTCATTCCAAACGGTTCATATGGATTGATTTTATTTTTTTTTTATTGGGGGGGGGGCTGAAAAAATGGTATCTCCCCTCCCCCCCACCTACTGTGCGATCGATAAATTTTGACAACGCCAACGTTTCGTAAGTGTTTTGTAAGTCCCAAAAAATTTTGTAGCTCAATTTTTGTAAGGGGGACAAATTCAAAAATTTTGGGTCAGTCACCCCCTCCGCCATTTTGCGATCGATGAATTTCGAATCTTAATAATGAAATAATGCGGCCAGTCACTGGCCGCATTATTGTCTTTACTCGCAGTATAAAGGGACTCTTTAACTCTTCAGTTCGAGGAACTAATTCGCCCAAACTGCTCTCGTTTGGACAAGGTCTACGGTCCCTGTTCCCGTCCCTTCTCCTAGTCTCCCAGAGAAAGATCCGGTGGTCTTTGCTCGGGATATTTGAACGGCACAATCGACCGTGACCAGTTAGGGACCTTTCCGTGCCTAGCCCGATGATTTTGAAAAGCCGCTCGNCCCCAACTAATTGAGTTACAAATTTTTTTTTTAACTTACCAAACGTCACAAAACACTTGAATAAAGTTGGTTTTGTCAAAATGTATCGATCTTTAAGTGAGAAGGGATACCATTTCTCCAGCCCCCCCCCCCAAATAAAGTTATCCATATGTAACGTTTGGCGTGACTCACAAAGATTTATTTTGGAGTTACAAAACGTAACAAAACGATGACATATTTTTCATACCTTTATGTAGNGGGGGGGGGGGGGGGGCTGGTGAGATAGGCCTCACCAACACTTGGTCTAAAAGGAAAATGATATCTCAGCTTTCTTCGACACTTGTCATCTGTTTTGACCAGAATTTTTCTCATTACCGTAGCAAAGTTTCATCAAATCAATTATTCATTTGTATCATTTCTTCTTTTCAGGTTCGGAAAATGCGAGTAGCAAAGCGTATTAATGAGATAGTCAATAGGTTGAAGAAGACCGTGAAATCTGCGCAACCAGATCTAAGGGCAGAGAGAGAAGAACGAGACAAAAAAGAAAGAGCAACCAAAAAAAGGTTGCTTCAAGAGCAAAAGGAACGAGACAAAGAAGAGTTACGAAGGAAACAAGAGGAAGCTGAATTGAGGTATTTCTGGAAACAGCAGAGAATTTTCCCCCTTTAGAGCAGTCATGATACGATACATGTTTCCTTGTCAAAATTTTGTGTAAAACTTGATTGTCACATCGAAAATTTTCAATTTTTCTTGTAAAAGAGAAATTGCCGTTTTTAGTGCTCTTCAAGTCTAAATTACTGATTGCTGTAAAACCAAAATCTACTCAAGTCAAACTGGGTACTGAACTACTCTCAATGCAATTTATGATGACTTAACGTTTTCAGTGTGTTGAATAGCTCTTGACAAGTTTACAAATGCTGCTCATGAGAGTGAAGAAAGGATTTTTTAAGAATGATTTTTTGTAAAACTCAACTTTAATTGTCTCCCGAATTTAATTGATCCACGCTGATCTTGGTTTTTAAAAGAGAGGAATTTTGAACTTCGTAATTTTAGTTAAAACATTAAATGTGCATAAATGACAAGTCGGTTTTGACAGTATTTCAAAATTTTCAAGGAGTTTTTCACACGAACTTTTGATGAGAAAACGCGTTCTGTCAACAATTATTACATATTTTCGTCGTTTAGTGATCAGGGATGCGTACCTGTCATCATTGATTTTTATTTTTGTGGGAAGGAAGGCAGGAGGCGCTCCATTGAGGACAAAGAGAGTGTCAATATGCACCAGTCTAAGAGTTCACGTTCTCACGAAGAAAAACATAAAAATGTCCTAATAATAACTTGCCAGTAGGGTCCTCTCAAGTTCATTATACAGGGTGTTCCAAAAGTCCAGCCCCCTCCCCTTCTCTAAGTTTTGAACGGTTCAAGATAGAAAAGTGAAACTTTGGGAATGTTCCTATCTGAATCACATATTGCAGAAAGGGCACTATTGCAGAAATGTTAACTGTTCAGAAAATGCAAAAAACTGATTTGAGTAGACTATAAGCTTTTGGAAAAAAATTTTTCGAGGTTTTCTTTTGTCCCCCAAGTAGACTGACAATTTCCATAAAAAATTTTTACATGATACTCTTTCTGGGTTGTAAATAATGACACTTGAAGGAAGAGCATTAGTGCCCTTTCTGTAATACATGGGGGAAGGAGCCATAAAGAGTGATAGAATGAAGCCAGAAAATTATTTTAGCCCTTGTTTTTCATCTCAAATGTATGGCAATGATGCATGTCTATAGCGAAAGTTAGAAATTGTATATCTCCATTGCAACGTTTCAAAATTTCTGCTTTCTTTTCATACTATTTTTTTAAAGAGAACTAATAGAGATTTTCCCATGAAATTTTCAGAAAACAATCTTGATGGTGTGAAGAAAATTTACACAAAATTTCAATAGGGAATACTTAAGAACAAAAAAAAGAAGACGAAATAAAATTGGCAATGTCGCAATTGATGGTATACGATTTCGAACATTCACCATGTGGTTTGCCCACAGCTATGTAAATTTTAAAAATATTTCTGGCTTATTTCAAGTCAAGAAATTAAAAAAAAAAAAAAAAAAAAAAAAAAAAAAATTGTATCCTTTGAAGTTTAATAGCGTAGTAATCTTCTACCTACTTCCTCATCCAACCTGTTAAGGGCTCCTCTCACTTCCTACACTCAAGGTTCAATTCTCACTCCTTTCATTTTCAGCGTGAGTGAAGCGTGTAGCGTGATCACTGTCGTTTCGAAACGCAAAACTAACCTCTCAATCGTATCAAAACAAAACAAACGACGAGTTGCCGCTGCCGATGCGCGCGCACCCAGTGGGCATGTACTGCAGAAACGGCACTATATTGCTGCAACAGTGCCCTTTCTGCTCTACGTGAGGAACTTAACCCCTGTCAAAAAACACATAAAAAATGCGAATATAGTGCCCTGTCTGCACTACAGGATGTGTCTACATACACTAATGCGAAAACCGCAAAAAACTCTATTTCGAAAAAAATGTCGATTGTGCCCTTTCTGTAATAGCTGATTCATCTCAAAGAGGACCATCCTCTGGGGGGTCAAAATTTTGAACGGGGGGTGGGGGGCCCCCAACTTTTTTTTTTATGGTAACCCCTATCTTGTGATACCTCATTCGAGAGCATTAAAAACTAAGAATTTTGGCGGAAATCGCAGATCAGAATCTTAATTTTTGACCGAGTTATGATAGGTCAAAGGTCAAATTTGACCTATTTTCAAAAAATCATAAATCCGGTTCAAATTATTGTAAAGAAAAAAATGAAAGGAAAAATTTACCAAATTGCATTTGCTTTTAAGTAAAAATTGCAGAAATCACTTCGAACTAATTTTAAGGGGGTGTTCGGACCTCCAAATACGTTAATTCCAAGGTCATTTAATTTTCCCGCGAAATAAGCCAATTTCCCCGAGATTTGCCTCCACAATTTCAGTAGGGTCTAGATCAGTTCAAGATTACGTTGACAAGTCCCTAAATTTCGAGAAAAATTTAAAGAAAAACGAAATTTAAACGGCCAAATTTAATCACTTTAAATTTTGTTTTTTTGAACTTTTCCCGAATGTAGGGGACTTGCCAACGTAATGTTGAACTGAATTAGTACCTACTGAGAAAATATGGAGGCATATCCAGGGGAAATTGGCTTATTTCGCGCGAAAATTGAATGACCATTGAATTGACGTATTTGGGGGTCCGAACCCCCCCTTAAAATTAGTTCGAAGTGATTTCTGTAATGTTTACTAAAAAGCGAACACAATTTGGTAAATTTTCCCGTTTTATTTTTTTCTTCACGATACGGGACGGAACGGAACGGGACGGGAACGGGAGTTATGATTTTTTTCAAAGAAGTCAAATTTGACCTTTGACCTATTATAACACGGTCAAAAATTAAGATATAGATCTGCGGCTTGCGCCAAAATTCTTAGTTTTTTATGCTCTTTCGAATGAGGTATCACAAGATTGGGGTTGCCATTTGAAAAAAAATAGTTGAGGGCCCCCCGCCCCCTTCCCTTGAGGGAAGACCAAAATTTTGACCCCNAATTTTGCCCCCCCCCCCCGGCTCCCAAAAAGATGGTCCCCATTGAGTTAAGAACATTCCCAAAGTTTCATTTTTCTACCTTGAACCGTTCAAAAGTTAGAGGGAGGGAGGGGGGGCTGGACTTTTGTAACACCCTGTAAAGTGGATCACAAGATAGAGGCTCCCTGCCAGTTCGCCTCTCAAAGTATTTTTAAATCCCAGAGGTAGGTCCTTTTATTTTTTGGAGTTGCATTTTCTGAAGTTTTTTATTTACTCACAGCCAGCTCAATGATATATGTTGCAGGAGCTACTCCACCCTAATGAAAACAGAAAACATGAAGTCTAATCACGATGAGGATGGAAATGATTCTGATGATTTCATGTAATTTTAATGGACTTTAGTTATCACATACCAGCTGCTGGAATCAAAAAGATATGTGCCTGAAAATCATAATTTTCTCGTCTCCTTAATGACCTCCAATCGGAATTAAGACCAGTCTCATGCATTTTAAATGTTCGTAATTTTAATCTTTGATAGTACGAAATTTAAAAATCAAATGTACCATATGAATTTCTAAAAATGAAAAATGTGTTTAGCGCATCGGGACATTTTAAATCTCTGCTCGTGTTTATTATTTTAGGAGAAATTTAAATAAAACATTCAAATTTTCTTTGAATTTCATAAATGAGTGATGAAAATTCACCACCAATTTCAGAAAAATTTTGGTCCGTTTCTTGTACAGGGATTAAATATCAGCAGTTATTGGGAATCTTGTATTCGGAGAGAAGCACTTTTCAGCTTTGAACATCAATTGTCAATTCATATAGTTAACCACTGTCTAGCTCTTTTCTCCCTTTCTGTGAGCATTTTATATTGAATCGTTCATCGAGATAGGCAATCACCCCCTTTTAAAGGTAATTTTGATTCATTATTTCTCATTTTTAGAATTTTTTGATGTTCATCCCCTTTCCCCTTTCTCCCAGTTTCAGTCGCAATGACTGTCCTGCATTCATTTATAGAGTAAAATATCAATGATTAAATTCAACTGATATTCATTTATAATTCAGAATAAAATAACTGAAACAGAGTTGCTACTGACTAATTTTAAGTCACTCAGGCCAATAAGAAGATAGAAAACTATAGAATGAATGAGCTTATTGAGTAATTTTTAGTTATAGCATTTATGAAAATTTATTCTCCTTATTTTCTCTGAAATCCAAAATTGTTTAATTTACTGCTTTAAATCTAATGTTCAGTTTCACCCAACCAGGTAAAAATTATCCAAGTGCATGTAGAAAAAAGCCCAGTGTACCTAGAATTTCTAATTAATCTTCATCTGATACAAATTATACAATGGGCACTTTGGGCAGAGGCAATAATTTTTTTTTTTTGAAATTAGTGCTCCTCCTCCTCAATATGCTATACACTTTATTATTGAGTGTTCCCTCAAAATTCTTATGTAAGTTCCTCTGTCGAGTATTTTTAACTTCTGGAGGTCGATGCATTGCAGCAGACTTTCTGTAAAGGGCTATGTAAGTTTTAAATATCATGCAAAAAGAGTAAGTGCTAATAGAAGTAAATGCTTTTGCATTTTTTTCCAATGCAAAAATCGGTCTGGAAAAATTGTTTAGAAAAATTGATTCTTCCTCCACTACCGGTTTTTACACACACATACTTGTACAGGCATATTTATGGAATGAACCACAGTCCACCAGCCTCATTGTTGAAATTTTGTGTTCGTTGGGTAGATATAGATTACAAAAGTTAAAAGGTGCAGTGTGATTGGTCTGTTGTCTTATTGCTGCTTTATCGTGCCTTTGTTAGGTGGAATGGACAACATACTGTCCGTAACTCAAAAGGTGCTTTTAGCTTGTTGTGAGTTCCACCCGACATAGGCACAACAAGGCAGCAATAAGTCATAGCCGACCAATCACGCTCCACCTTTTTACCTACCTTTGCCATCTATGTTTATCCGACGAACACAAAATTTCAAAAATCAGGCCGCAGAAACTGAAGAGAGAAGGTGAAGTGGAATCCACCCGAGATTTTGCGTAAAATGTGTTCCTTTGCTTGCAAAGTCTAGGCACACTCGATTAGAATTCCAAAACATTCCTATAATAATTGAGTTATATGAGGACACATTTTTCGTTGTGTGGAACCCTGGTTTTGCAACGGGCGGGTGTTTCTCAAAATGATGACACGCAACACACAGCATCCGTGTTGCCAAGTTTCTGAATAAAAGGAACCCGTGTGTGTGGTTCCACAAATGACTCCATTTCCACAGCTCCCTCACTTTTGAACTTCATAAAAAAAATTATACAGGGTGATTCAAACGTCCCTTCCACCCCCTCTAATGTTTTACCTAATTGAGGTAAAGATGTGAATTTGGGGGATGTTCCCAGGTCAAAGGGAGCTACTCTTTGGCCCCCCTAAAATTTTCAGGAAGGCCCCCTTGAGGGCAACGGACCCCTTTTGTGATAGCTCATTCGGAAGATCATAAAAACAGAAAACTTTTCGCGTAAACCCGAAGTCAATATCTCAAGCCGTTTCAAAATGGTTAAAATTCAAGATGGCCGAAAATTCACACCGGTTATTTGTTGATGGATTTGCGTAAAAATCGGTAGCTGAAGGTATTTTGACACGAAAAAAGCGAATTTGACGTTAGATTTTAAAAAAAAAAATCGAAATTTCCAAAGTGGCCGCCGGTTAAACTTAAAAATGGTCGGAAATTGCCACCTCGGTTATTTGCTGATGGATTTTTCTCAAGTTGGAACTTAGGGGTATTTTGGCATTAACACATTTCATTTGAACTTTGATTTCTAAAAAAAGAAGGAAAAAAAAAGAAAACCAATTCTCGGTCATTTCGAACTTTAACCGGCGGCCATTTTGAAAATTTCGGTTTTTTTTAAAAATATAACGTCAAATTCGTTTTTCTCGTGTCACAATACCTCGAAATACGAAATACGGATTTTCGCGCAAATCCATTGACAAATAACCGGTGTCAATTTTCAGCCATCTTGAACTTAAATCGGCCGCCATTTTGATAAGGTTTGAGATGTTGACTTCGGGTCTGCGCAAAAAGTTTTTTGTTTTTATGCTCTTTCGAACGAGCCATCTTAAAGAGGGTTTTCCCATTTGAAAAAAAAGTTGGGGTCCCTTGTCTCCCAAAGGGTGCCTCCCTGAAAATTTTAGAGGGGCCAAAAGGTAGCTCCCTTTAGCCTAGGAACATCCCCCAAGTTTCAAATCTTTAACTCGGTTACGTAAACAGTTAGAGGGGGTGGAAGGGACTTTTGGATTACCTGTATAATAATTTTGTGCCGTAAATTAAAAATTGTTTGCTGCATATTTAAGGGGAGAAACGCTCCTCGCAATTGGGGGAATGGGGTGGGGCTGCAGAGACGGCAGCCCCCACATTCGATTCACTGAAAAAGAATAATGTCATAATTTTTTGCTATTGTGTGCCGTAGCAAAGAGGTGTGTGAAAAACCGGCCAAAAATGCCTCAAGGCATTTTCGAATTTTGATCACTTGGGGTGATACAGTAGCTTCCGAGACGCCCAAAACCGGTCGCCGTTTTGCTTAGAAGCGCCGGGTTGCGACGTTGCCATTTTTTAAAGTGGAAACCTTTAAAAATTCATATCTCCGCCGCATCTCAACCGATTTCAATGAACTTTTTTTTAAAATGTTCCTCTTAAATAGAGCTTTCTAGTGATGTATAGTTTCTTGGGGTTTACTTGGCTTTGAGTGGCACTTACGCGGTCTTAGCAGTTTTTGATAGACACAAAAATGTAGTTTTTATTTTATCACGATCGTGGAATCGACGGAATCTAAACAAAAACCAGTCTAAATATAAGTTCAGATTCTCACCTTTCTAACGAGCACAAGATCATCCCGGGGAAACGTTTAGTTCCCGAGATATGACCGCTCAAAGTTGGTCACATGAGCTTTTCCGCAATGTGAATGCGTCTTGTCACCGAGTCATTCGCGAACTAGGGGTCCCTTATGTTCAATTTACGTTGAAATAATTACACAGAGCAGTAAGGTGTACAACACGAGCCGTATTTTCACCTTCGGCTGCCGATGTGCGACGTTGCCATTTTTTGAAGTGAAAACTCTTAAAAATGCATAACTCCGCTGCATTTCAACCGATTTCAATGAACTTTTTTTTAAAATTTTCCTCTTAAATAGAGCTATCCAATGGCATTTAGGTTTCTGGATTTTATTTACCTTGGGGGGCACTTAGGTCGTTTATATGGTTCTTTGCAGAGATTTTTCATACCAAAAATACTGTTGCTATTTTTTTTCTTTCTTTTTTCTTTTTAATAAAAAAAATAAAAAACCCTGGCACGGTATGTCTGGGCCTATAATAAAGTGAAAATAATTCAATCAAATCGGAGAGAGTTCAACGAGTTCTATTTGAAGTCCTTTTGAGATAAGGTGTATTCACATTAAATACTGAAATATGGCAAAAAAGTTGGCTATCTCTCTCTTATTAGATGTATGCATAACCTCTAATTATGCATATGAGTGTATTTTTTGTGATAACCATAGAGAAAATGGTGAGAAGTGAGGCAACATCTGCAAAATAGAAGCCTCTTCTCATTGGTCACACCCGTAACGTGTCACACCCGTTACGCATTTTTGCCCATCAATTGTTGAAATAAAAATTTGGAAAAAATATTCCAAAGCTGTACTTGACTTGAAGACGTACGGGAAAAATTGGCATCTCAAAATGACATGAATTAAAATAGTTACATTAAAAAACCCATGTTTTGCGTAACGGGTGTGACAGTCGGTACACTAAGTTTTAAAAGTTACATATAATATACAGTAATTACTTTTAAAAATTGAAACTTTGCAGAAGCACATTGAATCAGTTTCTTGACAACTGCAAGCATAACCTGAAACTTGGTTTTGGCGGTAACACCAGAAAACAATGCTATCAAACTGTCACTCTTTTTACAGTAGGATGAAGTTAAGCAACAGGGTTACAAAACACGTAAAAATTGCGAGAAAAAAAACAAAACGGAGGTAAACCACGTATATTTCCAAAAACTAGGAGTATTAAGGAGTCCAAAAATAAATATCGTTGGGTCATTTGGAGGGGGAAAAAAAAAATACCCCCCGGACTACCTAGGCGTGGAATGACCCTCCAATGAATTTTCGAAAGCGAAAAAACGGTGAAAATTGAGCTATTTTTGACGGGTTTTCCGCCAATGCGGGCATTGCTTGGCAAAAAATAAAATACTTAGGAGTTTTCTGAAATTTTTCCTTCCATATTGATGGTAAAGACTTGCTTTCCACAATTTTTTAGATTTTTACTATTATTAGAGGCTGCTCAAAAAGGGTAATAGGTCAAAATGTCCAAAAAATAATGTCCACAAGTCAAAATGTCCAAACCCTGAATGCCCAAAAATCTAAATGGGCCAAATATCAGTGATGTCCAGCAGTCAAATAAGTTCAAAAGTAGGCAAATGTCCAAATGTGAGATTAGGCATTGGTTGAGTTGTTATTGGATTTTTGGGTGCAGGTTTGCAAGCTGCTTGTGAATGCAGCCATAGAAACAGATACGTCGGATAATGGAGAGATGCAGGTTAGGAAAAATGGTGATAAAATTGTTCATGAGAGCAGGCAAATCCTTACTTTTAAAAATGCATTAGCGATTTATTTTCAAATTTCAAGTGATATTGACAAACATAACAAACATGGCTAATATTACCCCGTTTGTCACAGAAAGCCAAATTAAAAAAAAAAAAAAAAATGTATTCTTATCCATAACAACTTCCTTTATAAACGTCACTCTGCTTGTAAGGACACGACTGTACATTGGCGTTGCATAGAGCGATCGACTCGTGATGCACGGTGCTCGACCAATGCTGACATGACAGCAGTGCAAATCAAAAGTGACGGAATGGCAAAGCATTTGCATGCTCCCGACGTGGCAAATGTAGAAGTTAGACGATTTTTGGAAAAATTAAAGATACATGCAACGACCCGACCGAATGAAGGCACCGCGCCACGAATATTGTCTCTGGATAATTACTCTTTCCATTAATTTGGACATTCGCCTATTTTTGGACTTCCTTGTCTGCTGGACATTACTGATATTTGGCCTTTTTAGATTTTCAGGCATTCAGGGTTTAGACATTTTGACCTATCACCCTCAAAAAGTTCAATATACATTCAAAAACGGTGAAATTTCGATTTTTAGAGCTGCCAAGTGGAATTTTTGGGCGTTATCAAGCGAAATGAGAGTAATCTAGGAGAAAAACGAATATTTTCCCGTAATCTACAAGGTATGTGCTAGGTTTGGACCAATTTCTAAACATCTAGCGTCAAATCTCTGCCACTAACTAAGATGTAAGAAAAAGACGGTTAAAATGCCAAAAAAAGATCGGAAAAATAACGATCTTTAGGCTCTGTGCTCGCCGGGTTAAACATTTTCTTCCTCAAAATCTTTTTGGCTATGGTATTTTTTTTTTTTTTATCGCATAGAACCTTTAAGACCGTGCAACATTTGGATTGGTCGATTTATAAAAATAAGTTCCGCCTTACGTCGCAAGTCCAAAATTTACGCGCGCTGGGAAGTTCGCAGGACAGAGGGATGCGGCTTCATCCTGCAAATTTCCAAAAAGCAATTTTTGTTCAAAATTGATAAGTTTCATGTTTGAGAAGACCCCATAATTTTAGTAGGAATTTTAATGTAGACGTTTCGACTGTAGACTAAAAAAGGTAGCCCTTTTTTCTGTAGACGTACTGTCTGCATACCCTTTTACTTCACTAATCCCCATCTCGTTGAACACATTTTTCATACCAAGACATCAGCTTTTTGATTCCGTTAGCATAAAACTGTCAATCCTGTTTTTGCAACCACTTTAGTACAACTTCTTTCACCTCATCGTCGCCCGCGCATTTTTTCCGCCAAAACACTTTTTCAGTTCAGTAAAACGTGGTAAAAACTTGGAGCGAGATCCGGAGGATACAGGAATTGAGGAAAAGGTCCAACTGGAAAGCGGTTAACAACTGGTTGGTCACATGAGCTGTATAAGGCCTAGTGTTGTCATGAAACAGCTACACTTGACGAGACAAAAGCCTAAGATGTTTTCTATTGATTGCTAATTTAAGTCTGCGCACGACATCACATTACCTGTCAGCATCAATAGTTAAGCCTCTTTCTAAGAAATCAATGAGTAACACTCCTTGAGCATCCCAGAAGATGACTGCAAACTCCCCAGCACGCATAAATTTTGGACACGCAGTGGCGAGGGACGTGTATGGGAAAACTGATTTTACTCTGCACTCAGATGAAGACCAAATTTTAAAAACTGAAACTATTTAGAAAGTTGAAAGTATGAAACTTCAAATGCTTGCCACAGATTTAAATTATCTTCATTAGTTTGAAAGATATGACAAATATTAACTTACTTTACGAATACCCCTTGTATGTCCTCAAAGATAATCCACAGTGAATGGGGGTAATAGAGTAATTAATGAATAAAATCTCTGCAATATTTTAAGCTTTTATGACAATTTTTATTTGGTTGATTTTCACGACTTTTAGGGATCATTTTACTCTTTTCTGGTTACAGTTTAACATAAAAAGGCAATTTTGATGAGACAAAAAATTCAATGATATAAAGTCGTATTTTGTTCGACGAAACATGTTTTCCGTTTTTTGTTATTTGCGTCACTTTTTTTCGCAGCCAATGAGAGTGGAGCTGCCAAAAGTGAGGTTAGAAATCCTGTTTCAACCATGCCAAAACAAGCTTGGAGGATGTTACGATTGTTTCGAAACAATGTTACGAAAACGTTGCCAAATTGTGCAAAATAAAAAAATAGGCCACGCCCCTTGACATAAAAAATATACGAGCAAAATACGGTTGTTACGAGGTGTTCCGAATTGTTTCGTCAAACAAAATACGACTAAATATTGCATCTCGACCTTAGGTTCTCCTACACCTAAGGATGGAATTTTTTTTGGAAGAAATTTTTGTCATAGGTGGAAAATACCAAAACAGAAATTTTAAAACTATATGCAGAGAAAAGTGTTCTCTTTTTTTATATTCGAGCAACATCCAAAGCAACTCCATATCACCTGTCACTTTAATTTGAAACCTAACCTCAACACGTCAGCGGCTTCATTCAAAAGCGTTTTTGACATTCTCACAAAAGCAAGCTTTATTTGCCTGTGGAAATGATTTTTTTAAAGTTTTCACATACGTATTACATTCCTTGCACTAAAAACTGAAGATAACGATGGTACATATATAAGTCAATATCTCTTGATTTTGACTAATTTTGCATAGAAGTTAGCAAATAGCACAATCAGTCAGAGGTTGAAAGTCTTCCAGATTGCACGAGAACATGAAAAGCTGGAAGAAGAAAAAAAATATGAAAAAATCATTGTATTTTCGCGAAATTATCAGTTTGTCCCCCACTCATTGCGCAAAATCGTACAGCTTTTCATCTAGAAAAAGATTAAATTGAAGCTATGGTGGTTAACAGCGATTCAGCTTTCCTATTTTCACTCATACTTAACAAAAAAAGAAATAGAAGAAATAAGAAGAAAAAAAAGTAATCACTTCCCTTAGAAGATACTCAACCCCTATCTAGAAATACTTGGAAAGCTTGGAAGAGCGCTGTGTGATTAAGATTTTTGAATTCGATTACAATTTGATTAAGATTACCAAAATTTATTGCGATTACGATCACAATTAGAATTGGGTAAAAAATGATCAAATTTTGGTAATCTTCATTTTTTTATGGTTTTTGTGACTAAAATGAAGTTGAAATATGCAAATTCTTGAAGAATTTTTCATGAAACTACGAAAGCTGCTACTTTTCCTTCAATATTCTTTTGTCTCCTTTTCATTTTTCTTGAGGACTCACTGGCTTCGTTTCTAGAGGATCCTTTCAGCCCGAAATAAACTAGGCTTTTTTCAGGTTATTGGCTCTAAGAGAAGAAAGAACAAACACAGCACAAGGCAAAAAGTTAATAATAATAATTTAGTAAAATTCGCAACAGGGTACGTTGATTTACCCTCGAACTTTTTTTTATTTTTTTATTTTATTTGACTTACTGCCAGCCTTTTCCACCGACAGTATCATGGAAAACGCCCAGTGCGGATGTTATCACGGGTTTGTCACTATTAATTGCCATTTTTCAAGGTGATTCTATGCAATTTATGGACGAGATTCGCCACTACGCTGCGCTGTTGTGCGGTTTGTGCCTTTGAGGCATCTGGACCCAGATACCCCCAAACACCGAGTTTCAGGCGAATCCATCGGCAAAAAGTCGAGGTTGCCAATTATTGACCATTTTGAACTTTAATCGGCGGCCATTTTGAAAAATTAGGGTTTGTTTAAAAATTTAACGTCAAATTTGTTCTTCTCGGGTCAAAATACCCCCAGATACCGAATTTCAGGTGAATCCACAGGCAAAAATCGAGTTTATCAAATTTTCGGCCACTTTGAGCCTAAACCGGCGGCCATTTTGAAAACTTAGGGTTTTTTAAAAAATCTAACGTCAAATTCGTTTTTCTCGTGCCAAAATACCCCCAGATACCGAGTTTCAAGCAAATCCATGTGCAAATAGCAGAGGTGCCAATTTTCGGCCATTTTGAACTTTGACCGGCCGCCATTTTGGAACGGTTTGAGATAATGACTTCGGGTTTGCGCGAAAAATTTTCTTTTTTTATGTTCTTTCGAACGAGGTATCACAAAGGGGTCTTCCCATTTGAAAAAAAAAAAGTTAGGGTCCGTAACCCCCCCAAAATTTTGGGGGGGTCAAAAAGTAGCTCCTTTTGATCTAGGAACACCCTCCAAGTTTCAAATCTCTACCTCAATTAGGTCAAAAGTTAGAGGGGGGGAGGGGACTTTTCGAACACCCTGTATAATGAATCTCTCTTACACATTGAGTCAATAGACGGCGTCTGTTATCATAATTTCAGGTATAAATTTAAAATGAATCTTAACAAATTTGCTGTCATTCTACTCAGTATTAATGCTGCTACATATTATGGATCAGTTTTTTGTGTTACCTTGTATGCAACGATAATTATTGCTTCTCAAAGCCACAAACCCCATAGCAACACTATGCAGTGGTGAGCCTCGTCCCTAGATCACATAGGATCACCTTAACATTGGCGGAAATTTCAAATTTAAAACGCGGCGGGAAATTCAAAATTTCGTGAAGTCAAATTAATTGACTCTTCGGCGATTAAGTTTTCAATGCGATTACGGTTACGATTAAAAAAATTAATTGCAATTACGATTAACATTTGATTAATCGCGCAGCTCTACTTTTAAGATTATCATCCCCTGCAATAAGGGAAAGCTCAATTTCACAAGAACCCTTGAATAGAGAGGTTCATTTACCTATGGAATATACAATTTCTTGCAGAATATTGCAAAATGAATTTCAGAACTGCAATTTACTTACAGAGGGTAAGGAGACCGCAATATTATTTGCAATTTTACGATGAAATTTCAAACACAGCCCATTTCGCTATTCAAGATTTACATTCTTAAGACTATTTTGATTTCATTCACAAATTAGTCCTCATCAGAGGAGAAGAGGTTCATCTTTGTTTTCTTTTTGGTTTGTTTTCCTATCGCATTAGTGTTCGAGTTTGAAGAAGGCTTGGGCCTGATATTTATGCCACGACCACTAGGCTTTAGAAAGAAATCATCCGAATCAGCATCACTATCAGATACATCATTAATCTTTTGAACAGCTGGACTCTTCTGCAGAACAAATGAAACAGAATTTCCCACCAGTTCTTCGCTGAGAGTACCAGCTCCAGGTTTATTTTTTGACTTCTTGGCTTCAATTATCTTTTTGAGCTCAGAAAACTTTTCACTATGACAAATTTTTCTTCGTGTAGGTTTTCTAGTCGTGTAAAGATTGTCATCATAATCTGGTAAGAGTGTAATTTCCGCATTTATGCTCTCCTCATTAAAACTGGAATGCATTTCAATAACGTCTTCAGAGCTTGAGTTACTATCTATGATTCGTTTTCTTTTTCCAGATTTGCATGTGGTTTTCTTAACAGTTTCTTCAAAAGTTTTCTCATCTTCAGAACAATCATACTCCTCCCAAACTTCTTCGTCCACACAAAATGAGTCCTAAGAAAAAATTAAAAATTTCAGAAAACTAAAACAGCAAAAGAAAAGTCAATTAAAGATGAAAAAACCAGCAGAGAAAAGATGTTTTTTCTTGCCCTTACACAACGGACTTGCTTTTAAAATTTTTAAAAATGGTAAAAGTCAAGGCTATTAGGGGTCTTCGAAGACCCAGTTCCTGACCCATGTGAAAGAATATCAGGAATGGAGATGTTGCATGTGTGAGGAATTTGCGATTTGACTGTTGATTCTTACGTAAAAGTTCGCGAGAAACACGATGGTACCACTGGTTTTCTCTGAAATCAACTCCCAAGCTCAAAAAAAGCTCTCAAGTTGAGGCCAAAATGGAGGGGATATCCCACGCTATCTGAGAGGCCACATCTACATCAAGACAAACTCTCCATGCAAAGATAGGGAGCAAATATATTGACAGGGCTGCCACTTTATTTGGGGACTCCAAAACTGAAAACACAGCATCACTGCTAATGTATTTGCTCCCTCCCTATCTTTGCATGGAGAGTTTGTCTTGATGTAGATGTGGACTCTCAGGATAGCGTGGGATATCCCCTCAAGTTTGGCCTCAACTTGAGAGCTTTTTTTGAGCTTGTGAGTTGAGTTCAGGGAAAATCAGTAGCACCATCGTGTTTCTCGCGAACTTTTACCTAAGAATCAACATTCAAACCACAACTTCCTCACACATGCAATATCTCCATTGAGGGGTTTGGAGGACAATGCAATTAAGTGCAGTTTTTACTATTTCGAGAAATACCTGCTGGGAGTTTCGAAATTACATGGATTCTCGTGCCGAAGAGAGAGTTAAAACTGACCTTTTCATGCTTAAAAATTGAAATTCGGGAGCGAATTTTTCCCAGAATATGCATTAAGACGATTTCTTTTTTTCTTTGAAACGATTGTTTGACAAAAAAGAAAAAAAATAATTGGCATCATAATGTTTACAAGGTGATTTACAATTTGTTGTGATGCAGCGTTAAAAAACCAAAATAATCAATTGTTAAAAGTAGATCTCTGAGACGAGGACCGAGCTGTAGACCTCCACTACTGAAGCCGGGTACGCTGCCGCTAAGCCAACCGGCTCAAGTGATTTAGTTGGCACTCAGATCGTATTAAAAGGTGCGCGCACAGTGGGCTCAACTTGAGCGCATCTCTGACACGAAAAAACGGAAACTTCAAAAATTCATAACTCAAAAAAGGCTCGGCATTGGCGAGAAAAAAAAAAAAAAAAAAAANAAAAAAAAAAAAAAAAAAAAAAAGTACGGGTTCTTATCTTTCCCTATTCTACCTCTCTACCAAATTTGAACCCGGTCTGAGGAGGACAATCGGTAGTCTCCCATTGTTGGAAAAAGGAATGCAATTTTTAAACAGCGCACACTGTAACGAAATGGGCAAAAGGTCGGACAAGGGGGTGTCACTAATTTTGGATCCGGAGTGGGCATGAAGTGTTCCTAAGGGTTCATACTATGCGAATCTAGCATGTATTTTCAATTTTTACCTCCAATTTTTTCCTAGAGCTCCTCAAATGTGGCAGATTCCGCTGTTCCTGAAATTGTCACACTTCGTCAAAATCTTTTCGACCCCTGTATTTTGTTGTGACGTTATTGCATGTAAATTTTGATGCCTGAAACTTAGTAGCTACGTTTATGCGAGGCTCGAAACCGAGGTTTCACGAAACCCGAGTTTGTAATGCAAGTTTCCTCCGTCGGGTTTATGCGGGCGCTGTAACCCGACTTTCGCGGGAAATCAAACTTTCCGATTTTGGCGCTGTTTATGCGCATATTTTCGATTGAACTTGAATTTCATGTTAGCCCCTTTTTCACGAGGAACACTTCATTTTTTCACTATGAATTGATTTAGCAAAATATTATTACTCTTTTATCCCGTGTATGTTCCACAATTTTTCCGCAATATATAAGCGGAGGCTTCATCTTCACGAGAAAAGCCTTTACTGACTTCCTGAGGAACAGTTGGAAAAATGACAGTGGATGTTTAGTCATTTTACGTTATCATCTTTAAAAATTGAATGAATATCTGATCTCAACAATCCTCCAAATCATGCTCGAGCATATATTCTGAGTTCAGAATAGTTGCCATAGGTAATTATAGTGATGTTAAATATAATTATCGCAGGCGCAGAAATTCATCATGTTGTTGATTGAGCTTCTAATGATCTTACAATAGGTAGGCATTGAAAGTGTAGGAGTGATAATCCAGTAAAGCACCGCACCTTCACTCCATGGTGTCATAAAGATTGTACATCTGCCATTATTATAGTGAAACAAATAAAGAATCGGGAATACTTATGGGAATCTCTCCTTCAAAATATGATCAAAATAAGAGGATATTGATAGGTCAACAATGCATTGGTGAAGCAGAAGCGTCTAAATCCTCGTGAGGCAAGGGACAGTGACAATCTTAACAAACTGATGACGCTTCACAAATTTTAAATTTCCACATTCCCAGAGACACGCACTGAAATCCTGTTTCTGACCTCTATTTAGGACTGATCTCCGATTCCATGAGCAAGATAGAAAGAAAATAGGCAAGCTACCTACTACTGTTTGCCGTATGTGTTTTTTTTCTTAAACTTGATTTTCTAAGGTGACTCATGTGAAAGACACACAAGATTTCAGAACCTGCCATTACATTTCACTAACCAAAGACACAAACCCAACCTTACCATTGATATTCTTTCGGTTAGACTGTATATTATTCTTCCATTGAGATTCGATATGAACTCAATTCAAAAATGCTTCTGAAATTAATTAATCGGGTAGATTGGAATATGGAGCTTTCAGTCTATCTGTAAAGCGCATTTACTGACATTCACTGCTGTCACAAGATATTTTTGCTCAGGTAGAGCCACTTTCCACAGTTGATGTATCTCTAACGCCAAGGCTCAATTATGACAAGTGGTTCAACGACCAAAAATTATTACAAGCCTCAATGAAAACTGTATTCTTATCTCAAATTGCAAATCATGGATCACAGAGCTAGGATGTTCCGTTTTTAGGCAACCATCTCAAAACCTTGCTCCCCGGGCTTTTTCCCATTCCTTTTGGTCCCCAAAAGACAATTCTAAAGTTTCAGCACCATAGCTGAAGTCTACACTTTCCCCCAAAGCGACGAAAATTTTGGGAGCAATTACATCGGTTTAAATGGGGAGAAAATAGGCCGATTCGCGGAACTACGTTTTTCGGTCGTAAAATTCGCCAAAATAATTTCAAACCTGACCATCTCTTGAGATGTCGTCCAGAGGCCTATTTTGAATGAGAAAATTCCACTTTTGACCCAGAGATGGGGGAGGGTGGGTCACGGCGCAGTTAGTTAGTGCGCAGCAAAATGATAGCACTTGACAGTTTTTAATCGACCTCAAAACAGACCCTTCGAAGCTGAGGAGGCTATTATATCTCATAAATTGTAATAAAATAATGTACAAGAGTTGTTTTCATCCCTTCAGAACTATTTCCGACCATTTACACTGTTGCCAAAATTTACACGAAACTGGAGGGAAATTAGTGTTTATCATGTTCTGCACTTGAGTGATTTTGGCAACAGTATAAATGGTCGAAAATAGTTCTGAAGGGATGAAAACAACTCTTGTACATTATTTTATTACAATTTATGAGATATAATACCCTCCTCAGCTTCGGAGGGTCTGTTTTGAGGTCGATTAAAAACTGTCAAGTGCTATCATTTTGCTGCGCACTAACTAACTGCGCCGTGACCCACCCTCCCCCATCTCTGGGTCAAAAGTGGAATTTTCTCATTCAAAATAGGCCTCTGGACGACATCTCAAGAGATGGTCAGGTTTGAAATTATTTTGGCGCATTTTACGACCGAAAAACGTAGTTCCGCGAATCGGCCTATTTTCTCCCCATTTAAACCGATGTAATTGCTCCCAAAATTTTCGTCGCTTTGGGGGAAAGTGTAGACTTCAGCTATGGTGCTGAAACTTTAGAATTGTCTTTTGGGGACCAAAAGGAATGGGAAAAAGCCCGGGGAGCAAGGTTTTGAGATGGTTGCCTAAAAACGGAACACCCTAACAGAGCACTCACCAAAAAATCTCCTTCCTTCTGCCTCAGTTTAAGGTGAGTGACGATACTTTGGAGAAATAACTTTGAACTAGTTTCAATTAATGATGGCTTCAGAATTTGAGTCGTCATTTACTAGAGATTGGATCAAAGAAATAAGTCAGCGGGTCACGGTTGTGGCTGGTCTCACACTTTCAGTAGGATAACCGGGAAATAGGTACATGGATAACACACAATTCAAGAGCTACACAGCTCTGATTGGATCAGATTTTAGATTTAATCGGTAGATTGAAATGAAAAACTTCAGTGAACTACTTAAAACAAAGCAGGAAGCTGTATCTTGAAATCCTGGGCAAATCGTGTGGATACAGTAAAAAAGTTCTCCGCAGATGATGTACTAGTAAGGCTATTACTAAGACCGTTCATTCCGTGTTTTAAGTCATAAAATGTTGATTAGAGTTGCAAGAATAATCGGAAAAAAATGCACTAAAAGCAGTGATGAGCCAGGATTCGATCTGACACCGAACACCTTCACTAGAAAATAATGTCCTACATTTAGCTAAATACGGATAAATAAGCCACATATGACTTAAGGAATAACATAAAATTATTACGTACGATTATGATTATAAAAAATGTTGAATTATGGCAAAATTACAGCAAAATCGTGGGAAAAGCACCACTTGTTTACGAACGTTATGATAACAAATCCGCCATGTTGCCGATCGCCCACCTGGAAATCGCATTTGAAGTCGAATTTCAACCTCCGGTTCATTCGTTTATGCTGAATGCGGAAACCTAGTCTTTAGGGTAAAATTAAGTTTCAAACACAAATTTCGGAAACCTACATTTCGTTAGTTCCGTATCGTTTATGCCGTGATATGAACCTTGGTTTCTAACTCAGGTTTCGATTGAAGATAGTTTTAGAGGCTCGCGTAAACATAACTATTAATG